CACGAGACAAACATTACAACACGCATTTATAATACATGTTATGAGTCTGTATAGGGGCGCGCAAAACAAAAAACTTAGATTACAGTGATCAAAAAACGAGATAATATTTTGGAACGTATGTAGAAATTCAATTAAACATCTTAACTGGCAATTGTACTTCAGTCAAGGATTTTTGGTACCCATGTCCATCTCTGTCATATATCAACTCGTTCTACTTAGGTACTTATGTTTTATAGTCCATTGTTTTACCTAATGCTTATATGTCATCGCAGGTCGCATTCTATTCCAGTCTTAAGTGTATAGAGTATAGAAAATTGTTAGATAATAAAAATTATATGAATATCTGCAAAAAAGTTCAAAACAGTCTTAATTTATTATATCTCTCGTCAAAATGCAATGGCATTCTGGTTATTTTTTGGGATAGTTTGGCAAACGAGATCGTTCGATTGTAAGCAATCGGTGCCGCTCACGTAAACGTTTTGCAAGTTCTCTTCTCTCCTCAAGTGATATGGGGAGGATTAGACCTCTGCTATCTTAACTCACAGCGAAACACAACTCGGTTTTTTATGAGGCCCTGGTATCATATTTTGCCAGCGTATTACTAAGTAATCAAAAGTGTATAGGTAAAAAAAAGTGTATAAGTCCTAACTTAAACAATTGATTTCAGGTGAAGGTCATGGCTTCCGGCAGCAGTATGGGATTCCAGTTCGCATTCAACATCGGCTTTTGTATGGCTTTCGTCACCGCTTTCTTAGTACTCTTCGTTATTAAGGTAATATTTATTATTGATTTATTAACTACCTAACATTACTTATGTAATTTAATTAAGTTAAACTGACTGGACTCCGTAAAGGTCAAAGTGACGATCAATGAAGTCTTAAGTTATTAGGTTTTATAACTACATACATATGTATAAGAAAAGAAATATTTTTAATTGGTTAAGAACGTTTGTTTTTGTTTTCTTGCAACTCATATGCAAACTTAAAAAAAACTTGGTTAATTCTACATTAAATAATTATATCAATGAATTGACTTGTTACGCATTCAAATTTTCACTTTCTCGCGTATTTTCGGGTCTCTACATGGAACATCACTATTTATAAGTGTATGAGTTCAATGTAATACTGTAATAAATTACGTTAATTATTATTGCGTACTGAAACGCAATGCGACTAAAATATTCAGTTAAAAGAAACGTACTACGTCTTTGTTCGTTTCGAGATCGCGTGCGTCGAATGCTTTTTATAACAAAACAAAAAAGATGTTCCGCCTGGCCCGTGTCTGAATGAAGGAATATTTTAAACGAATCTAATCTTAATTATTATTCATTCATTTAAAGTTTAAATGAATGCGTAATGATATACTCTCCTTTCTTTTCTAACATAAATTTGCTTTCGGCAGACCGTGGTAAGAACTTTCCGAATCTTACTTACTGCTGTAAGTTACTTACTTTACGTTACTTACTGCTGTAGTCAAATCTAGTTTGCGGCCACAGTACTTAAAATTTTCGAATACCTAAAATCCCTGTCAATAGGTGGCATTGATAACTTACAGTCAGGTGATCCATCTGCTCACTTCCTAATTGAAGTAAATCTATCTTTGGCTGTTCAATAATCTATATCTCGTAATCTGTCCTGTACCAGGAGCGTATAAGCGGCGCGAAACTTCTCCAACGTGTGTCAGGCGTGCGCCCCGCAGTCATGTGGACAACTGCGCTCATTTGGGACTGGTTCTGGCTGTTCCTCGTCTACCTCTGTATTATACTCACCCTCGCTTGCTTTCAAGAAAGCACTTTATCTTCACCTGCTGAACTAGGTACGTTAAATTACATTAATGAAAATATGAATAATCTAAATTCGTTGTTTGATGCTTAAAATTCGTATATTCCAGGCAGGGTCCTTCTAGTCTTAATGGTGTTCTCAATAGCCACAATACCACTACACTACCTCGCATCATTCTTCTTCGAAGCAGCTGCTACTGGCTTCTCGAAAATGTGCTTCATGAATATATTCACGGGTAAGTATTTCAATAACTCACATATTTATTTATTTACGAATACATAAACAGCTTATTTGAATTGAGTTTACACGGTATTATCATAATTCCGATTTGATATCATTCTTGTATTGCGGGAACGGCACAATATCACAAGCTGTTAATATTAGATCGAATAATAAACCCATTGTTTTTGTTTCATCAGGTTGCATGCCATTTTTAATCATCGAATTATTGAGATTACCTGAAGTAGGCAGTCCGTTTTACGCTCATCTGTTCGACTGGATTTTTTCTCCGTTGCCTATTTACTGCATCAGTAGAAGTTTCAGGTAAATACTCATACTTATTGAATTTGATGTCGGTTCCAAAAACTATGACACGCTTTTCACGCTGTAGTCAGAGTAATGTGGAATATTTTAGTTGCTGTAAGTTCTACAATGACAAACATAACTACGCACTATTGTATTGCCTGAATGGTATCGCTTGACCTTGACAATTCAATCTAATAATTTACCTAGATTCAGGAAAGATTATATCAGGGCCGGGGAGTAATTTTACAATAATTCTAATTTGTCCCTTTTTGATTAGATTTAAATTCCCTTCCCGTAAATTTTAGATCTATAAAACCAGTCCAATAATCTCTAAGCAGTAATATCAATAAACAACGTAGTAACCGTTATACGGCCAACTGTCTATCTTTTTTATAAGCTCCTACAGTAGCTTGAAACTGGTCGAGTAATTCATCAAACAGTTACACGAGGAAGCAGTAAAACAAACAGAATAATATGTCTTAACTTTATAGGGACATGAGTGTATCATCGTTCTCAATGATGGCGTGCGATGGTCTCTGCGACCAATTGAAGATTGACAACTGTACGCGTCACACAATCTGCAAGCAGCTGAAACTCTCCGTGTGTTGTAGTAAGTGAGTCTTGTGGTGCGTGTTTGTACTGTACTTCTGTATGCTTACTGTGCTTCTAGACTCTTCTGTAGTAGTGTCTGCTTTGACTCGGAATGCTGCGAAACTTTTTATTTATTACCTTCACTAACTAATTAATAAAAGATGATGTTTTGACATGCCTATCGTAGATTGGCAATAAGATATTATTAAAACCGGGTTTCCTAACTATAATCTTGTTCTACTAGGCTAAAATATCTTTACTAAATTATTTAGAACATAATTGTAATTAGTATACAAGCACGATTGGCTATATGTAGATACATAGAGCACCAGCAATGAATTACGCTGCTGAATAATAAGAAATTAAAACGACGTGTCATTTACAGTTATCGGAATATTGATTCCATTACAAATAAAATTATGCTTGGTTGATGTGTTTATTTCTGTGAAATTATTGAGTTAATAACAAAAGGTTTCATATTTTTTCAGTTGAAGATGATCCGTACATGAGATGGGAAGAGCCGGGCATTGGAAGATATCTGTTCATGATGAGCATGGTTGGAATCTTATCGTTCATGATATTGCTCATCAAGGAATACGAGATTTTGAACAAGGTACCTACTTTCTTTAAATTACTTATACTCATAATCTGATGGTTACGACGTGTTACAAGAACCACAACTTGCTGTTACGGGTCTAAGTGTGATTTTTTTTGTAGAATTTGTGTTCATTATCAAAGTTAAAGTCAAAGCATTTATTTCAATTAAACCATAATTTGGTACTTTTGAAACGTCAACAAATTCAAAATAAATAATAGTCTGCTCATTCCAAAATGTAGATTCGAATGGAGAAGAACGAGTAAGAAATTCCATTGTTTACTCTTTTAAAAAAGTATGTTCTACAATGTCTCTGATACATATTCGAATATTGTACGTATATGTGAGAACAATGCAAAGACACGCTAGACACGCTTGACGCATTATACAAATTACAAAACATACTAAAATAAAAATAAAAAAAGCGTACTTGTAATATGATTATTCCTGTTTAATATAATACTTTCTCTTTCACAAGGTATTCTACTCTTCAAGCAACCAGCCAACACCGGCTGTAGGCAAAGGGGATGATGATGTAGAAACAGAACGTCGCAGAGTCCAAGAGTTCACAAGACCCCAAGTAGCCCAGCACAGTCTTGTATGCAGAGACCTTACTAAGTTCTACAAACATTTCCTTGCTGTCAACAGACTTACTTTTGGTAAGCAAATACGTTTTAATTAATTTATTAATCTATTCGGTATTTAAGTAACACTCACTTGCGCAAACGTTTGCGCAAAGATGGTGTTTGTTGCGCAGACTACTTTTTTCAAAATAAACTGAAGTCGATAATTATGTTTAAGCCTATTAGTCTTAAATCTTTTAATATTAAAGCTAAAATATAATCTTACCTTAGGATCATACCTTTGTTTTGTTTCTCTAGCCGTTAACAAGGGAGAGTGCTTTGGACTACTGGGTATAAACGGTGCGGGCAAAACCACAACGTTCCGTATGTTGACTGGCGACGCCCACATCTCTGGCGGTGACGCATACGTACACGGAATGTCCATCAAAACGCATCTACAAGACGTCTATAGACATATTGGTGAGTTACTACTGTTAATTTTACCTTAACATAACATCACGCCTTTTATCCCCGAAGGGGTAGGCAGAGGCGCACATTACGGCACTTAATGCTACTGTACAATGTAACACCCACTTTACACTATTTATGTTATGTGTCCCATGTAATAGGGGGTGAGCCTATTGCCATATACCGGGCACAATTCTAGACTCCGTACTGCTACTGAGAATTTCTTTAAAAACCCAGTAGTACTTTGCGCGACCCGGGAATCGAACCCGAGACCCCTTGCCCGGCAGTCGCACTTGCGACCACTCGGCCAACGAGGAAGCCTAATTATAACTAAACTAATAATGGTATAAATGCGTTATATATTCTTCCAGGTTACTGCCCGCAGTTTGATGCCTTGTTTGAAAACCTCACGGGCCGCGAAACATTGCGGATATTCTGTTTACTGCGCGGCATACCGTCTGCTGTCGGTAATGCTCGAGCATTACATCTTGCCACTTCACTCGGATTCTTAAGGCATTACGATAAAAAGGTACACATTTCATTTGGAATGTAGGTTACATGTTACTCGTTAAACCAATCCCAGATATTTTGAATATGATGGAATAACTTCTGTTTAGGTATTTGCGTGTAGCGGAGGGACTAAAAGAAAAATTAGCACAGCTGTGGCATTGCTTGGTGATGCACCATTAGTGTTCCTCGATGAGCCGACTACAGGTAATGTATAAGATCATACATAATTTGTACATCAAATGCCTGCCCACTCCCAATGGGGCCTACCGTCTTTTTGCGCACCAGATGGAGCTAGTGTGAACCTCTCGTTCTTCGTCCAATAGGGAATTAGGTAGTGTCACACTATTGGACGTTTAATATTTGACAGCTGCTGTGACTGGACTATAAGTATAAAATACTCCTTCCTAATTTTGCGCCATCTTGGACAAAAAAACGTTAGCCCCCATTAACTTGAGTTTAGGTTGGTGGGGGTCTCTTCCATTGTTCTCTATCGAACTTTGCGAAATTATACTGCTTACATAGATACTTCATAAGGTCATTTTGCTTTTAAACTTTGAATACGCATAATCGTACATTTGTACAATTTAAAAGTAGGCGCTCCCCGGCTGACATGTGCGCATTTTAAATTTTAATAAAAATTATAAACGAATATTTGATACTATCAGGTATGGATCCCGCATCGAAGCGACTAGTATGGACGTGTATAAGCGAGGCAGTGATAGCGGGGCGCAGTATAGTGCTGACGTCACACAGTATGGAGGAATGTGAAGCTCTGTGCTCGCGACTCACTGTCATGGTCAACGGACAGTTCTACTGCCTCGGACCTCTACAGCATTTGAAGAATAAGTTCTCACAAGGTAGTAATGCGTTACAGTATCGTATACGTTAATATCTCGTACAAAATTCACATTATTGTACGTTTATTATAAAAAATACTACTACTATTGTACTTATACAGTTCTTTAATTTCAGGATACACATTAATAGTTAAATGTAAATCTGGCGTAGATAGGGATAACGCCGTGATCAAGATCAAAAATTATATTATCGACAACTTTAATGATTCGAGACTTATGTAAGTATCTTAATCACTGGTTAATATAAAAGTCAATTCTTTTTACACTTAGTTGGCAAACAATTCAGTTTATTATTATTCTTTTCCAGCGAGTCATATTTGGGTATTAGCACATTTTATATCAACGATGCTGGATTGCCATGGTGGCGAATATTCGATATTATGGAAGAAGCGCGGAAACAGTTCCCAATAGAGGACTACTCCGTAGCACAGACTACGCTAGAACAGGTATTCCTACAATTTACAAGAATGCAGGGCAACACAGAGGCTTAACCCCTCAAGGGAATATTAATTTAATCGTTAGGTTCAGGGTAAACTACAAGACAAGAGATCTGGATCGAATTACTGCGCGCTTAATCGACAATAGATTTTTTGAGTTTTTGAAGGACAGGAAGGAGAAGGAAAAACTCAATAATAAAGTCTCGATTTTTATATAAAACTCTTAGACTAGTGTCGTTTACAACTGATAACTTTTTTTTACTTTTTCATATACTCAGCATAAACTTTGTAATATTTTCATCTATAGTCGACAAGATATTTTGTAAGATCGAAAGGTAAATACGGACATTGAGACTCAATAGTACTTAACGATGAATAATACAAATAGTTATTACGACTCCATTTTGAATGTTCAATATTTTATATGAAAAAATTAACTTAAGATAATTGTAGTTACAATTGTACCGTTAAATGTTGTTGTTGATGTGTTTGGATGTGTATTTAATGCATAAAATATAGTCTATGCAATGTAAGTTCTACTTGTAAAATACGAGCTCTTATAGTTTGCCGCAAAACGTTACATAATTCACACGCATCTGCTTAAGATCATTAAGCATTTTATTCGGAATGTAACGGCAAACATTGTACTTAAAAGTGTTCTTCTCTTTTGGAAGAAACTAATACTTTCACTAAAGCTTCGTGCTATTTTAGTAATCTCAGAATCATGCCTCAAATGTTCGTAGAATTACTATCGAGTAAACGTAAGTCATTGACCACACCATTCCAGTTTTCGTACAATAGAAACGTTAGAAATAAATGTTTTGTCTCAAAATACTCCCAACCTGTAATGATCTGTTAATATTTAAGTTAATAAATATCGAATATACATTTTATGTACAACTGTATTTTACTTAGAGTACGTCTTAAATGAAAGCACTATAAATTGTCGCATTCACTTCGTATCGTATTTTTGCCGTTTTTTCATAAGTGATGTGTGATTTTGTATGTTAAAATTTAGTTACAACTAAATAAGGTTCTTTGTTCTGATTTGGAATCCAAACAATGCACTATTTCATTATGAGGTGCCTGTTAAGTACTTATTTTAGTGAGATATAATTAATATTATGGTGCTTGTCCTATTAGGAGAGTAAATAGGTCGTATGATGGCCTTTTTGGCAGCTACAGAAATGAATTGTGACTCATATAACGATATTTTACCATTTCCTATGTTTTTTTTTTTCATTTCTGTATTCTAAGTAACATTTTAATACCAAAGGAAGTCTCAATGAACTTGAAAGATTTAAAGTAACTTTTATAACTGTCGTGTTATAAAATGTATTAACGACTTGCCACTTTGTTAATTAATTTTGTATCTTCTAAGGAAATCTATATTTATAGTCTTGTCACAATCTTATTGTACCTATTTAACTCGTCGAGTACCGGTTTTGTAGACACAATTATAAAACAATAGGTTGCGGTCACCGGTGACCGCTTGGTGTTTGACAGTTTAAGGTAGTTAACAGTATCAGTATCAGTAATACTTATTTATAATTACTTGAATTAATCCATTAAAGTGATGGCCTAATTTATCAACTGACAAAAAATGCCTAATTTGCGCCAAATTATGTTCTATTTTCAATCATTATAATCTTTTCTTAAGATCTGAAAAATGTCCGTAGAAGTAATTATAAATAATACAAGTACAAACAGTAATCACAGTTGTGGGTATATAATACATCGGCAAATGTTCAGGGATAGTGCAAATCCACGAATCTATTATACGTAAAGGCCGCGTATCTGCAATAGGTCTAGTTTTACAGGGGATGGTTAAAACTCATGAATTTGAAGCTCATTTTCACATATTAAAAACTAGCTACTTCTGCGCGGTTTCACACGCTCTGCTCAGCTCTTATAGGAGCTCCTATAGGCTATAAAACATCATGCTACGACTTATAAGTCTTATTTTATAGCCTATAGCCATCCTCGATAAATGCGCATTTATCCAACACAAAAAGAACTATTCAAATCAGACTTGTAGTTACGGAGATCAGCGCGTTCAAACAAACAAACAAAAAACAAACTCTTCCGCTTTATATAATAGTATAAAATGAGTCAAAATGAACTCGTGTCAAGGCGGTGGCAGCCAATTAAGATTTTGCAGGATTTTTCTGCGAAAACTTGCATTAGCTATATTTACCAAATGTTTGTCAGACACGCGGAATTATCGAAAGTTAGTTCCGTAGATTTACACTATGCCCGACGAAATGTAATCGCACCACAAATATTCAATCTTGAACACAGTTGATTGATTGATATTGTATTGAAAGATTTGATGTTCACGTTACGACTATGTATGTGATACATTATTTTGTATGTGTGCTCTCTTATTTACGGAGTATACAATATAAATAGCTTCTTTATTGTATTAATAAATGTAGATCTGCATCATTAATGTCAGCTGAGAGCTGAACGGTTATATTTAAGAAGTTGTATAAATGTGAATTTGTGTGATATCATTTGTGATCTATTGTAATTAATTGTGTTAATTATTGCCATTAGCAAAATATATATTATTATTTAAGGATATGCCCTGTGCCACTGATACATCTATGCCATTTATAATCAGGGCTTAGTTTAATTTTATTAGTACAAGTTCCTTTGAACATCCAAGTATTATTGAAACGAATATTTTTTCTATAAAATAGACTGTAGAACTCATGTGCAGCTTCAAATGCTACTTAATTATTACGCTTGAACAGTATACATAACTTAATTTATGCAACATTCTGGCTTTAAATTGTATTGCTATTCCTCTCGATGTATATTATATATCATAAGGCGGTGTTTGTATTGTGTAGTGTTTATAGACAATTTTTAATAAAACTAAGGATATTTTATCAGAATTTGTTTTATTATAACAATCTAACTAACCTCAACGAATGGTGTTACAATTATTGTTATTTTTAACGACACCAAGGGAATTCCATGATCGCGAAATGCATTTCAGTTATGTTATAGTTATGTTATAGTCCTATGTGATATTCCAGGTTACATATCATTGCCTACTGGGATATTTCCGAAAACGAAAAATACTTTCCCCAACCTGAAAATCGAACTCGTCTTTCAAGCACAAAATCAACGAAACGTATCAACTCTTTATCTAGCAGCAAAGCGTATACGCTGCCTTGTACACACAGTCACCGTAGGCTCACTACACAAATATTGTAAGTGCACTGTAAGTTTTTATAGTGCCACTTTTGGGAAAATTGAGCTTTGATTAAAATTAGCAGTGATATTATACACAACTTATTTGAAACTGCTTGCTACGCCGTAGCAACGGCTACGGGCTACGATATCATGCTACAAATATAAAAAAAACGCTAATGCGTACTTATGTCTGCATTATTATCAGAGGAGATAGGTAATTATAAATCAGTAATGATTAACGACATCGTAGGTATAATCCGTACATATTTATTGTATTATTATTTTATCTAATCATCTATTTGATCACAAATACGTTACAAATATATTAAGATTAACTAAAACAAAATAGTTACACACATCACAAATACTTTTTCTAAAGTACTACAGATTTTTGGTATGAAAGTAAAAAAGTTTAAACAAATAAATAACAATTTTTATATTAGGTACATACATACACATTATTATTATTTACATCAACTTAACGCAAAATTAGGCGCAAGACAAGCGCTTGAGCATATTTTGTATACAATAGGTAAGTTTTTTTACTAAGAAATTCTTTAATATAGTGATTTAGTCGGTACGCTAGTATGGTACAACAATAAAATCATTTCAAATAGCCTCGTTTCATTTCTCTTTTGTAAATATGGAAAAGAGGTCATGGAATGTCATTAAAATTACAACTAATATACATTTATTTACTCGTAAATCAGATACATCAAGACTTGCCACTGTAACTTGTGCATTATGTAAACATTTATAAAATAATCGTGACAAGCAATCGGTCTTTTCAGTAGACCTCTTCTATAGTGCCAATTTTAGAGGATATAAATGTCCTCTAAAACACTAGGTCCTACTTTGACAACGAAATTAATTTATCTAACTATGTTTTTGGGTTCCCAGCCCAAATACAAAAAGATTATTTGGGAAACATTTCTTGTATACAAGCAGAAACAAATTTATTATTATTAAATTTAGCACTTCAACTTGTAGAACTACAGTAAAACGTCAATAACGAATTTGCTACAATTTTATCGACTAGAGCGAGACTCACCTGTGACGTCAGACTGGTACAGAAGTGACATCGCACTGCATGTATTCTTATATATGAAACTATGTGCACTCACACATTATATTACAAGAGAGCATTTCCCCGAATCTTTAGATCCCAGATGTGGGATGTATAGCGAATTATCTCTAAACTACGACATTGTTCACTATAGTAATTCGTATGCTTGTCGCTGGTACTTGGTAAACTGTAGGAATATTTGTTCTAGTGTGGTCTGTGAGATGCTGTAGTCTTCGATCTCCAAGTCCCTCTTAGCGCGCTCCATAATACCGAACATCCGTGACCACGCCATACTACGGTCTGGAAGGTAGTATGTCAGGAGACCTTGGTATTGCTCCCTGTAAAACATATTATTTAAATCAATGATTGTACAAATATAATTATAAAACAAAAAACTCGAATATATTTTGTCCTAATTAGATATTTCCGATTTCGTAGCAACGGCCTACGGCGTAGCATTTTGCTACAAGATTGGCATTGGCTCAAAAGTAGGTCTAAAATACAAATATCACATACCCAAATCAAATAATCATCTGTAGTACAGATGATTATTGTTTTGTTGTTTTATTTTGAAATTTTTACAGAATGAGTGCGTTTAAAATATCTGAAATATGGATGGGTCAAAATATAAACCAATTAGGTAGATGTACTTACATGATACGTGGATTCCGGAAATTTTGAGTAATGAATTCTTTGACGGTGTCCACTACACTACGTGAGCTGTTTATCGAAGCAGTGTCATTGTCTCTGTCTTCCATTTTCAATTTAATAATTAATGTGAAACCTGAAATTATTTTAAGTAAAATATGGGCATATTAATAAATTGTCTCTCGTGCGAAATCATGTGATAAACAAAAAATACATAGGTAATACGTCATCATCAGTATTATTTTCAAGTGCTGATCTAGTTTTACCAGGTGGTGTTGATAAGCAATCGAAAATTGATACTTAAATATCGAGAACGACTTATGTAAGTTTAGAGATATATCTCTTTAGCTATTAATTGATAAGGATTGATTTCGTACCTTCGGAAAATTTGTTCTTAAGATGTTGTGGTGTGCCGAAACACTGGAATTTTCCATTGACCATGATAGTGAGCCGTGAGCAAAGAGCTTCGCACTCCTCCATACTGTGTGACGTCAGCACTACGCCGCGGCCAGCACGCTGTACGCCACGCGTTGCTCGCCACACCTATGTAAAGTAACATAATAATAAATATTATGATCAGAATGCTCGCAATTAGAAACAGTACTATGCACGGCATAAAAACTACGCAGCGTAAAAATTACGGATCAAAAAGACTTTTCTTGGGAAGTGTGTTGTATCTTTTTTGAATCATACCTGATTACTTTGTTAGGACAGAGAAACCCTTATATGCAGTACCCATTATATTATCAATACATAAATACTCACATGTCGTTTAGCGGCAGGATCTACTCCAGTGGTTGGCTCATCTACGAACACAAGCCGTGTTCTGCCCAAGAACGCTATTGCCGTGTTCAACTTTCTTTTCGTTCCTCCTGAATATTGATTTACCTGTAATGGTGAAAAGGAAGTACCTACTTAGTTATGTATTATAATGTATATCGCTAAATAACAAATAAGTATCCAGGTAAGGTTATCTGTCTTTGTCTTATCTTGGATTAAAATAATAGGGGCATCTACTTAATTGATTTTTTATAAAAACAAAAATATGGCTTTGAATTAATTATCATCAGGTCGTGACAATCTGCTACTGCAGTATTGACTATTGAGGCATGTTCTACATAATTATAAGAGATGAGTTCGTAGGTCGCAATTTCAAAGATTTATGGTTATCTTTTAATAATTATATAATTTACCCTTTTGTCAAGATGTTTGAGGAAACCGAGTGCATGTGCCAATGTTTCAGCGGTTGGTGCAGCACTGCGTAGACGCAGACCCTTCATCATAGCAAACATATGCAGCGTCTCACGACCCGTGAGTTCACCAAACAAAGCATCGAACTGGGGACAGTAACCTGCAACAAAATTAAGCTTAGCAAATACATACTAAGGTGGAATATGAATTAAGATTATTGACGTTGACGTTGGTCAATGACATCGTAAAAAAACTTTTTGTCTATAGGTATGTATACTAACCGATGTTCTGGTGTACTTTGCCAAGACTTTTCTCCACAGAATGTCCACTAACAAACGCTTCGCCGCTTGAGATAGACTCGTCCCCCATTAACATTTTAAAGGTGGTAGTCTTACCGGCACCGTTCACACCCAATAAACCGAAACATTCGCCGTCGTTAACGCCTAAAAACCAAACAAATATGAATTATACTTAATAACGTAATTAAATGAATAAGTTATGAAGGAATAGAATTTATTTGGCACCTAGCATGATACTTCAAAAATACATTATACACCGATGAAAAAGAGGGAAAAACTTACCAAATGAGATTTGATTTACGGCAAGGTGTTTTTTATAGTACTTGGAGAGACCATTGGCGATCAGCGCATGCTCGGAACGTTGCGAAGGCAGCACGCTGCGCGCGCGCTGCGCCTCGTTTCGCACGTCCTGGTCCATTATACTCTCGTCTAGTGGCGGTGGGGTCTTCTTAATCGTACATAACTGTAATAAAAGTAGTATTTAAGTGATAAATACAAGTTAAGATTGACATTTAACGTCATCTTACTTATCACCAACGTTAGGTAGGTTAGTCTTAGTTTAGGTGCTACTTTGCGCTAAGTAACTTTTAGTTAAGAGACAGTTTATAAACCACCAGTTGGTGAAAACGACGGTAATTAGCGACACATATTTACTTAGTACATAAGTATTAACATTTCTTTTTTATTTGTTAAGAAAAAGGAACTTAGTGTGTAAATTAAGAACATTCAAAAAGATATAGGTACATAATTAAATGATAATATAGAAATGATATTACAAACCTTCTGGAAGACTCTGTACTCGATGATCATAAGAATAGTCCAGAACAAGATGCACGATATAATCATACATGTCAAGTATCGAGATATGCCTGGCTGACTCCAATTGAAGTAAGGGTTCGTTTCGACTGCAATAAAAATATTCAAACGTAAATCGTATCACCTTTGTATTAATCACTAGCAGACCGGGCAAACTTCGTAGCACCTAGAAATGTTTCTCACCTTTTAATTTAAACCTTCCCTGGACTTCCACGAACATTTCAAGATCAAAATTAGCCAAATCAGTTTATCCGTTCTCGACTTTTAGCGAAATTAATAAACGGCAATTCATTTTTATTCATAACAGAAGATAGATTTGACAAATAAAATAAATTTATGAGGAATATGAGAAATTGTACTTACCACAGCATTCTTCATAACGTGTACATAAATTTTCCATCGTGCACTGAAGGCTAGGAGTCACTGCTTGTACGTACTCGCACATTTGAAGGCAAGTGTACTCGCGCAGTCCAACTTGGTTCAAAAATCTGAAATAATATAAAACACTTAACCGCTTATCTGTCGGCATATAAACACAATAAAAAACACATTGTGCCTCGCATATATCTACGTTCCCGCATACCACGGGTTAATAAGATATAAATACTTGTATTTGGTGCGAAGTCACCACTGGCCCAATATATCACTGAGGGTTTTAGTTGGGCTCCAACCTACTCAGGCATCGCCATAATACTAGATCGCGATTAAGCTTTTGGCAAATAGTGTTACTTAATACAAAAGACTATAACGTCGTTTACTAAAGAGAAGTTTAGTATACATACCTGATCGCAGTAATTAAACTGTAAAGCGGGAAGAACTGTAATATGTAGTCGAGTATGTTCGCGGCGGTCGCAGTGTTAAGCTGAGGAGAGGATAGCGCTTCCACCACTTGTGCACCCATCATACCTGATGCACAAAGAACAAAGTTATTTTTGACGTAAAAATATGTATGAATTTCACAAAATGTATTAAATAATTCTACCACTTTTCATTTTAAAATCAATTTGTTTTACTCACCGAAGATTACGTTCATAAAGTAGTAGCCGACGAAGCCAACAGCAGGACCATTGAACGCATAGGACACAATGTACACCAGCGGTAACATTGCAGCACCATACAGCATTACGCACAAGTACATTCGACCTGAAATCACAGTTTTCGATTTTTTTTTCTTTTAAATAATATCTCCTTGTTGGCTTGGCTTGTTGTTATAGCATTTGCAGTATTTGAAAGCGCGAATGTGTCTATTTATTTAGAGAAGGATGTAACACGTATTTGGATGTTTTCAATATTTGATGTATGCTATTACTCGGGTCAAACAAAAGTATCGTAATTACGGAGTATATTTTACCTTGTCAATTTGAATAAGAAATGCCAGCGTGATTAATTTAAGACAATAATTTTCCACATAATGAAGGAATTTCTTCTTAACAAAAAAACCTACATAGTTCCAAAAAACCGTAAGTACATAGCAAAAACGAATTACCCAATTCATGAAAAGTAGATAGCCCGATAACTTGGAAGGCGGCACAGGTGACCACAATTGAGATACAAGTAATGAGGAACCACGACCAGTTGAAGACAGCAGCACTACCCCACAGCACAGCTGGTTTTACTCCCGCGGCCTTCTGTAAGAGCTTAGCGCCAGATGTGCGCTCCTGCAAATAAAAATAAGTATTTTATTTTTAATTTGGAAAGGGAATACTATCTTTTAGTGTCTTTTCTCTTATTCCTCCAAAGGTTATCTATCAACTACATGTAGCTTTCACGCAATAACCCCCTCGATTTAACGACCTATGATCGACTACTTATACTTAGCGGTGTTTTCCAAGCACACACACACACACACATATTAACGACATACTACAATATATATTTATTCAGAGCTGGTATGCACCATCTTACCCTAATATAGAACATGATGAATACAGCGCTAACGATGCTGACGCTGCTGCCGATACCAGAAGACAGCTGCATAGAGAGCATGGCAATCATCATCTGCATGTCCGTCTGAAATCATTCAAATTATTTATTATCGCATTAACAAATCATTAAGTAAAATCATCTTGTAACAGTTGACTGCCTTGTGATTAGTCGAGTCGTCATAAGAGTCAAACCTGGACGGAACCGAACCAGTCGTATTGGCGAACAAGGGTTATGACGTCGATGGTTCACTACCACGTTACACGAGACAATTTCAAAACATAACTGTTACATTCACACCTCTACAAAACGTGGCGAAATCTCAATGGCACAAACTTCATTTACTAACCTGGTCACTATAAGTAGCTTCCAATGGATGATTGTAAACGTTGAGCTGGGCACTGGAGTTGAATGCTCTAAGAATAGCCGAGTGGAGGGTAGCCAGGGATATAGCGACATCGTGATAACCAAAGTTACTGAACCAAGCTGTCGCATTGTTGTCGTCGAATGTGGAGCCAATCAGGATCTGGTGACGTAATTGCCCCAACATCACTGGATCCATTGTCTGAAAACATAACATAGGTTAGTTTAGAGAATTAACATAAAATTCCAACTTAAAAGATAAAACTTAAGTTTCCTCTTGACTAGGTACCTACGTAAAAAAGCTTTGCTATTATCATATTAGATTAGATATTATTATATTATCGCAATAGTAAATCACTATAATAATCGGTACAAATCAAATAATACATTTTTAACTAGCTTTACTACCGGATCTGTGTAGGTACCTATACGTCATAACTTTTTATGCCGCTTTAAGCTTACCCTATTTAGATAATACTGCTCCATAGGTTGGTTTCCAATGCGAGTTAAGCCCATGTTCGCCACGTCTGAGGATGCGAACAACAACTCATAGGCTGTTGCCACGATAGCGCCGACAGATGACCCTAATGTGCCGTTGAAACTTAACAGAGTTTCTGTATTTGTGAATCTGGAAATAAATTGATTATTATATTTTATAATACTGGATGCAGTCTTCACTTGTTCACAATTATTAAATTCACATTCCTCCTAAAGTATCACATAAAATATGTAGTGTAAGTGGATTCAATGAGTAGAATATTCATTTTTTTATTCAACCTTTGGACTTAAAGTAAATGGGTGACATCCATTTTACGTCACAAAGAACGAAAACTCAAAATCCACGCTCTGTTATTAACTTAATCTAATCTCTTTCAGATATATCTAACATAAAAATGTATGACATACCCTTCAGCCAACGATAAAAATCTTGTTTTTATAGTTGGGGTTAAGGCCATTACGTATCTCATAACTCCAAGCGTGGCATTGATTAGTATGATGGGAGCACAGAACTGCAGGATCATTAACCAGGGTGAACGAATCAGTATCAGTCCCTTCTTCATCCACACTGCTAATACTTGCTGACATAGTAATCGGAAACCGGTCACACTGCTTTCGTCTCTATCCACTAAAATAAAGAAAAAATGGTTTTAATAACTTTTTATAATTCTTTTTACTGGACCCTAAATTCGATTGTGCATTACGGCAAAGGAACTTACATTCTTCTAAAGACGAATCAAGTTCATGTTTTAAAATGTCGTCAATGGTGGAATCCGTCGTGGTAGTAATAGCGTCATCATTGTCTGAATTATTTACAGGTGCCAAGTCCGAACCGACTCTGTAAAGCGAAATATTTATTAGTAACTTCTAGATATGAATGTCGACTAAAATTGGTTTGCTACAGTAACATAAATAGATACTTACGACATAAATACATCCTCCAAAGTGGTAGCAATTAAACCATAGTTTTTGAATTTTATCGTTTCAATATTCCTTTCCAAATCGTTTAGCATTTCTTCGAAAGCGTATGAATAATCGTTGATTAAATTATAAGTAATTTCCGTACCTAGAATAAAGACAGTCCAAAAATTCAGCAATAATATTTAATTGATTTTTCCTTTTCAGCTAACTGTAGGGTATAATTTTTGTTGTTTTCTTTTTTTTACTTTCTTTTGATTCTAGTTTAGTTGTTGATAGTTTTAAGTTGTAAATATTTATGTAGTCATTGTTACTTTAAATTAAATTTCTTTAATGGCCAAATCCTGACCATTATTAGAAATAATGTTAACATTGTTATTTATATTAAAATTATAAACTGTTATTAAATGTAGGTTACGTATTAGTAAATGTTTCATTTATGACTAACTTACCACGGTCTTCTTTGACAACAGTATCTGGAATGTATCTATTTATAAGTGCAGTGCATTCTTCGAAGTCAAAGTCATCGTCCTTAACGACTACAAGTGTGTAGCCGACGCCATAATGACGTTTCAGGAAATAAGGTGAACCCACACACTGCAAGCGACCTTGCGCCATTATAGCCACTCGGTCACCGAGAATATCAGCCTCGTCCATGAAATGTGTCGTCAAGATCATCGAACGACCTAATTGTAAACAATTTGTTAGATAATATTGCTAAAATCAATTAAAATACTTTTTGTATTGGTTTTCATCGGTTACCTTTCTTTTCCTTCTGCAGAAGTTCCCAAAGTGCTCGTCGGGAGGAAGGATCCATTCCTGATGTTGGTTCATCAAGTAGTACTACACGTGCCGCTCCACTTAAAGCTATTCCAACACATAAACGTCGCTTTTGACCTCCAGACAAACCATTGGAAGGATAGTCTCGCTGTAAGAAATCAAAATATAAGTGTATTGTAGAAAAACATAGTGTAAATCGTAAAGTAGGTGCCAATAAACCAACCTTCTCTTGCAGTTCCAATTTTTCGATAAGAGTATCAATCTCAGACTTGAGCTCTGCTCCATGAAATCCTTTCAACCTGGCAAAGAATTCCAAATGTTCTCTGACAGTGAGTTCATTAAATAGTACATTGTGTTGAGGACATAAGCCAATATGGGCACGAGCCAAAGAACCTTCGTGTGTCATATCATATCCAGCAACAGTCACAGTACCCCGGGTTACCTCCAAATTGCCTACAATTTGATAAAAACAGTAAATAAATAAAAATCACATTTACCATACTTTAATAATTTCCGCATACGTAACTCTAAAATTGCAATCGTTTTGAAGACCTTCAATTCTATTTAACCCAGTAACATTACCTACATTAAAGCTAGTGGGCTAGTCCACAATAATATGATTGCGTAAGAGTTCCGTTGCTTGCCTTAAGCAGATGTCACAATTGATATGCACCCACTCTGCTACGTAATTTAACATTACCTCCCTACTTCCTTAGTTTCATGAGGTAAGTGCAGACAACTACCGAACAAAAATTCAACAATTGTACAAACCTGTCAACATTGATATCGTGGTTGATTTCCCAGCACCATTGTGCCCAAGTAGTACTGTGATCTGATCGTCATAAATATTCAAAGACAAGTTGTTGACCGCCGTATTAGCTCCGAAAATTTTTGTTAAATTCTGTAAATAAAGTATGTAGTTAAGGGAGTGCCTTCATTATAACAGATGAGATTAAGGTGCCGAATACTTGTCGAAAACAGGTTTCTCAGATTTATAGTTTTTATCATACTTACATGCATTTTAACACCCACGTCGTGGTCAGTAGGTTCTTTTTCCTTTATGATGTCTTCAAAGTCACTGTTCTCATTTTCCAAAACCAAAACCGAACCTCAAAATGAAAAAGAAGGAATTATTAATTGAATTTCAAATTTAATTAAAATTAGTTACTTAAAAAAACACTAGGTATTCACCTGATTTATAATTGGGAAACCAAAACCGCAACTGGAACGGGAAGTACCAACGTTTGGGCGTGCCAAACGGTCCAGGCAGCACTTGTTCGAGGTAGAGGGTAACCAGCATATAGATGACACAATCCACCACAAGCATGATGACCACGTGGCCAAACACGAAGCGAGCAGAGTCCGTCCCTGGTGACGCCATGAAATCGCCCCACTGCAAGCCTAATTGAAGGAATATGATCAGCAATTTAGCACTCAGACAGTCGCTATGGACGTTATTCTCCTACGTTCATAATGTTTAGTCCGCAGGTCACTATGGTACGATACTTCGTAAGTGACGAGGTTTTTACTAAAGTAAATTAGTTATACATATTGTTTCCATGCGTATTTGGAAAGGTACCTATAAGAATTCGAATGTTGCAAGCACAAGAGATTAAAATTAGTTTAAAACACTTAAAAATCTAATTCACAAAATGCTATCCTAAAAGGAATTTGACAACTCACCTCCAGTACTTTCCTTGGCAAGCAAAAGCTGGAATCCATAAGACATCGCAGAGTTAATACTGAGGCATGTGAAGACTTGAACTGCGGTAGACATGTTGATGTCCATTGCCAAGAGGAAGGCAGGGATGTATGTGAGGAACCAGATAACTACAGTGCACAACGCTGCTGTACTAGCTACATAAAATAAAACAACATTAAATGATGTGTACCTACACGTACAAGTTATAAAACTACTTTAATAACTAATGTTGACGAAACATACCTCTGGAGAAAAAGCTGCTCATCATAAAAGAGAAAAATATCGTGCAAGTTAGGTACAGCATCATGAAAAACATCAGAACTGTCCAAGGCGTATTAGTAAACACTGCGTACTCACTAAACCCGTCTTCGTTTGTAAACCAATTTATCTAAAAAATTGAAATACAGTTTTAAAATAGTTGACACCGAAATGTATAAAATTAAATAGACTAATTTTGAAATCTTACCTTTAAAAGTATCACTGTCAAACTTGCGGATATTAACAAAAACAAAAACTGTTTACAGGTCCATGCAGTCCAATGCAACCAGGTAGGTAGACCCATAATTTTCATTGTTTCCTTAAAAATGACAAAAACATTACATAACACATAACGCCTTTTATGCCCGAACAAACACATTCATCATTTAAATTTTAAATTATTATTCCTAGCTTTGATTTGAGAAGCCATTCAATCCAGATGTATGCATGAAGATTACCTTTAGTTGCAATTCCTTTTCTACCGTGACCGCCCTTGTAATGTTGATTGCAGTGTAACTGAAGCTTAACATAATGAACATAGGGAACATGAACTGCAGAAGGTCAAGTGCCATGTCCCTGACGTACGGTGGGTGAGGGTACCTCTGTAAGTACACTCTGAATTCACTCAAGTCTACTCCTGTTGATCTTGTTATCAATTCGGTTGAAATAACTTGTTGTAGTGCTATGAACATTTCGTTTACATAACCTGCATACAGAACATGAAATAAATTAACAGTGGTACTATTATACAGCATTACTATTATTGTATTCAGATTTTCTATTTAACTTATGATTAATTAGATTAGAATTAGAGGTAAATAAGTTAATAGAAAGGTCGTTACCTGGGTCGTTACCACCTTCCCAAGATTTCGAAAATCGAGGACCAGGCGTTTCGAAAACAGGGAAAACGGCATCTGTTCTCCAAGTGCGACCTCCAGTTTGGAATAATGAATTAAGACGAGGTCTCTCGGGGAATCTCAGCGAGTATGACAAATTATTGGACAATGACTCTGCACCTAAAAGTGATAAAATAATTTAGGGTCAGTAAACTGAAATACATACAACAGAACTTATACATACTTAGTTATAAAAAGTAATACAATACCAACCGTATAGTTTATCGTCAAACTCTATGACCGCTATAACCTTTCGGGTATTTTCTTCTTCTATATAAATCCCTCTAGTTTCATGACTATTTTTGTAAGATTCTATTGTTATACGAGATTTAATCCAGTCAACAATAGCGGTAGAATTTATATCAATGGTAGGTGGTAATTCTATTTCCACTGGTAAATGAGCAATTAAATCTTCCATGTTATTTACTAGTAAATTAGAGACTGCAGTTCTAACTACGTCTTCTAATACAGGACTAGATGGTGAGAAGGCAACCGATAGTTTAGTGTAATTCATGCCGAACCTGTAAAAAAAGTTTGTGTTATACCTCTATTTTAAACTAGCTATATACAATTTTTTTACACTTTAGGACGTACCTCTCATTCACGAGAGTGAGGGTTCGAAACCTACAAACAGCAAGTGCAAGTACCAATGTGACTTTTCCGAGTTATACGTACTTTCCGAGATTATCTAGACACCACTGATAAACGGTGAAGGAAAACATCGTGAGGGAACCTGGGCTTATAATTTCAAATTATAAGTTTGAAATCGCCAACCCGCATTGAGCAAGCGTGGTGATTAATGCTCAAACGTTCTCCGTCAGAGAAGAGGCTTTGCTCAGTAGTGGGCATTTATAAGCTGATGATGATGACATACGATTTTGTGAGAAGATGGAAAGGACGGGTGATTAATTAGTTTTAAGTAATTATAATTATTGTACTTTTCATGTAAGATTTAAGTAGCAAATAAGTAATTTTTATGTTTTAACTGTATAATGTTTTGGCTTGTGCTGTAAAATTATATACGTGCTTATCCTTACTTCCTTACTAATATTATAAATCGGAAAGTGAGTTTGTTTGTTTGTTTGTTCCACTATCACACCATAACTACTAAACCGATTGCTTTGAATTTTTGCAGATGTATAGTTAGAAGTCCGGATTAAATAATAGGGTACTTTTTTCCCGGAAAAATGTGATATTCCCGAGGGAAAACAAAAGTATTAGTATAGATGGCGCTGTGTGTATTGGTATATGCCACATTGGCTTTTTACCCTTTTGTGACGCGAGCGAAGCCGCGGGTAAAAGCTAGTAAATAAATAAATACGACATGAAATTATTTTCACTACAACTTGCATCATGTTTTTATCTCACTACCTTAATGTAGAGCAAATTCAGTATTGTAAATACCCAGCGTATGAACTGTTTACACTAAAATACAAGAAATATTTAAAGTCATCGTGATAAGGAACATTAATGATTACTAAGTACTATATTTTTGAATGGTAATAATTAATATAACATATTACGTATATTAATTTACGTTCCAAATGTTCAGAGTTACAATGTCCGCTTGAACACGTTGAATCACTCCATAATAAAAAAGCTATAAAAGTAGGAAAGTATAGTGTGCATCAGTGGAAACAGGCTAATCTTGATCACTAGGATGACGATGGTAATGAATTTTAACATTAGAATTATACTTTCAAATAGCGAATTTGATAAGATTTTACAGTAGTGAAATGAAATGGAATGGAATAATGAATTTTGGTAAACTTACAGTACTTGTGCAGAATAGTTGAGTGTGTGTGCTCTTATAGGCGGATAGGTGAGTGTCTGTCTTTCTGCTGGTTCTATCTGCCATCGGAGAAGTAGCACTAGTGTCATGGTCAGAACTGGAAGTAGTATTTCCAAGGCTGTCTGTATTCTGTGTCTCCATTGTTGTAGGAAGTTCTTCCACATCAACAACCGGAACTTTGTGAAGGCGCTGGCCTGCTTCGGTACCCGCCGCATTGTTAAAGCGATGGCGTCTGCCTCCTGCATGTTACCCAACAGTTACAGTTAGTTAAAACCTTCATTGTTTCGAGCAGGTTACTTAATTACTTATATTTCAATTCGTTCTTTCATTGTTATCACACAATTCGATAAGCTTAATTTTCTTCCTGATTAAGAATAAATTAAAGATAAGTATTAAGACAGATAATAGTTAAATACGTATTTGCTTATACAATAATACCTATTCACGTGTTGTTGAGTGGTGATTTTGTAGTGCGAAATAGAATAAATGCGTCATGTCTTATCTTTGAAACCTGCAAAACATTTCGCAATTATAAATCTTAAAAAGTTCAGTTACCTTCGATTAATTGTATCTCATATACAAACAATAAGGTTTATTTATTTCTTTCCTTATCTCTAAATTAATATCATCTTTAGCATCGATTAATTAACATACTGCAGCCGAATCTGGGCTACATGACTTAAAGCATCTTTTTACTGAATTTATTAGACCCGCCTAAATTGTTTTCGGTAAGTACTATACATATATATTATATAATTAATCATATTAATTAAACCTACGTACCTATCAGTACATTTCAATTAATATAAAAAAATATGATATGACAAGGATAAGACGATATATTTAATATACTTAGAATTACTTAAAAAGCGGCTTCCTATTACTCATATACTTATAAAAATATCATTCAGACAATCTAAGGGTAGATAAAACCTACATAACTAATCGCATATCGTCTAGTCCTTGATGTACTAATTACTTATTACACGGATTAATATTATTAGATACCTGCCTTTTCTAAATATTTTACAAAAACAGGTAAACCGTAACTAAAGGTGACAAAAATTGTAATACCTACCGTAAAATACGACAGAATCTAAACTACCTTATCACGAATGTCATAACATATAGGTAGGCATTCTAAGATTGACGTGCCTATTGATTTCAATCTTTTCTATGCTTCCGTACTGTTAACATTCTCTCCGTTGTTTAAAAAAGGATTTCGTGAATACAAGTCTTTAGACTGATATACAAAATTGCGATGCGATGCGAATTCTCAACGCAAAAAATTACGAAGCAAATTGCTGCGATGCGATTTCGTGCGACAAGGCGTCTCCCAGGGTGACTATTCCTTTGACGACCATCAACAGTACTAAACGTATTTTAAACTGAAAACTAGATCGTGACATGTATCTTAAAAAGAAGTGTGCACTTCTGTTATTGCTCAGGAGATACAGGAAAAAGAAACAAAGAAGATTTTGGGCAGATAAGATTTTGATGCGCGATGCGAATCAATTCACAAGTTCTTGCGATGCGTAGAGGGAGCTCACACATTTTTGCGATGCGACGTCGCATTGCAGTTTGGTGTACGAGCCCTTAGTCCTGTGATGGGTGTGAACAAACATACGAAGTATCAATATCATTAGACCCAGATCCGGAACAAGAGAGAAAGAGCTGTGCCAACTAAGCAATGTTTTATTTTTAACTGCATAAAAAGAGAACTAGTAAGTTAGTAAAATAAATCGTACTCGAACGGCACAACAATACGGACACTCGTCTATAGTAGGTATGTAGTAGTAATTGCACTCATAAAATGGTAGCAGTTGCACTCAGAATGCACCTAACGAACTTAATCAATCGAGCTTCATGGAGTACTAGAACTGTTTTAATCGAAGTATTGTACAAACAATTATTGGAAACAAGCACTTACTAGAAATTAAAGGACGCATGACTTGTTCGGGGGAGTCTCATGGACATACATATATACTTAATACATAATTTATAATACTAAACTAGTTATTTAAAGTTAATATAACTGAATAACGTCCAACAATCCATCACGTTGTAGTAAGCATTGTAAACGTGACCGCCAATCACGTGGTTTACACCATGATTCGATTTTCGTGTGAATCGTTTAGCTGACTTTTAAAATCGAAATGGTTTCGTGTTTATCTCGAAAACATGTTAGTACATAAGTACTAGTTATATTTTAATTAGATTTAATAACTGTTACGCTGGTACGAATTTCCCTATTTGGTTATGACATAGCAAAGGGTTTTTAATTTCGTAGCCGTTTCGTAGCAATTTCGTAGCAAATTTCCTTAGCAAAATGTACTTAATTAAAATGCAATTACGTTTGATTTTAAATTAAACTTTATTTTTGTAGTTAATTAGGTGCGTATAATATTATTTTAAAACTAATATGATATTATTTGGTTCCAATATTTCTACATTACGATTGTATAAAAATAAACTAACAATTCGTTGGCTGCCTACCGACCAATTAGGTACTCTCTAAACATATTTACATATAGGTATAATATCTACAAAAACAAACGTAGTACATAAGTATCTACAAACATTACTTAGGTATTGATTCGTTTGGAATATATCAATATTTTACTGATTATTCCTGGATTTCAATTATCAAAATGAATGTGCAAAAACAACAAAAGATAATACGTTTAGAATTAGGCATTTAAATATTAAGCTCAAATTGAGTACGTTTATGTTAGAACAAAAGAGCATAACGTGGGCTGCCTATCTCGTCTGATGTCTTGCCACAAATAAAACGATCACTGTCAATTAAACCACTTAGCTTTGGGTACTATGGTTATGGTACCACTTTTATGTTTGCAAATTTCAAGTACGAAAGTATGCTTTATTTGAGCACTTGTCACTTAGAAGCATGTGCACCGCCGGAGTGTTGATCAAAAGCCGGAGCTTGCTCATTTCAGACATGCTTGCCAATCGACAAGCGTTCGATTTTTGAGTATTTTAGAGCATGTTTAATAGTACCTTTATACACATTGCATCGCATCTTTTGTACATACAACGGCACAGTTGGTGCGGTGACTGGGCAACCAGCTGCCGCGCATCGTGTCGCGCTTTCGAATTCCGCACCACGGAGCAACTCTTTGTGAGATCCACTAATTGTTATTCCGGGTCTGGGTGCCATGTGTATGTGAACTTGTATGGTTGTAAACGCACAACAGGCCGTCAACGTCTGCAACTGAAGTTAACATTGCAAAAGTGAAGGAAATAGTTTTATAGTTTTATTTTAAAAAAACGTTGCCCCACACTAGGATTTTCTCCTGTGTCGTGGGTGCGTTTACAAACATACAAGTTCACATACACAATGACACCCAGACCCGGAACAACAATTTGTGGATCACACAAAGTGTTGTTCCGTGCGGGAATCGAACCCACGACACGTTGCACGGCAGCCGGTTGCCCAGCCACCGCACCAACCGTGCAGTCAAATAGTGACAAGTAGTCAAATAGTGACTGAAAATCCCCATTCAACTCTGAGCGAGATAGCCGCCGAACTTTCTGTGTCTCACGAGTTGACCCGTACCATTTTACCTAATTATTAGGGTATGAAACATTTTGTTGCTCGGCTAGTCCCAAAAAATCTAAATATTTCCAAAAACTCAATCGCATGAAAGTCGCTGAGGACATGCAGAACGAGTCAGTTCGGACCCAACATTCATGAAACGCATTGTTACTGGTGACGAGACGTGGGTTTACGAGTTTGACATGCAAACTAGTCAACAAGCTTCGGAGTGGCGCCTTCCAACTGAACCGAAACCGAAAAAACCACGCCGAAATCGATCAAAAGTCAAAGTCATGTTGACTGTTTTCTTTGACTATCGCGGTGTTGTGCACTATGAATTCTTACCGGAAGATCTAACGGTAAATAAAGAATATTATTTGAGCGTTATGCGGCGTTTAAGAGAGCAAATTCGACGAAAAAGGCCAGATTTGTGGAAAGAAAATTCTTGGATTTTGCACCACGACAATACGCCTTCGCACAAGGCTATCATTGTGAACGAATTTTTGACCAAACACTCAACAAATACCATGCAGCAAGCTTTTTTCTTTTTCCTAAACTCAAATTACCACTCGTGGCAACCGTTTTCAATCGATAGAAGACATAAAGGAGAATTCGCGGCGAGAACTGAACTCAATTCCGGAAGCAGTGTTTAAAAAATGTTTTGATGAATAGATTATTCGTTGGCGCAATTATCGTTTCTAAAGGAGCATACTTTGAAGGTGATGAAATAAATTTTGATGAACAACAGATATTTTGTGTAGGTATTATTGATCTTTTCCCGGTACTTTCTTGCCAGATTAGTAACTCTAGAGTCCATTTTTGTACTCTTCACAGCAATTTTGTCAAATGTTAAATAACTCATACAACTTGTTACTACATATTTATGTATTAGTACTATATGCTAATGTCATCACTTGCCTAATCTCTCCGCTATCACATGTTATCGTTATCAATTTATCATAGTAAAACATTTGACATTTTCCTCTTTGGTACGCATGACGCCTATTTTGGGGACACAACGTATATGTTATAACGTCAATATAAACTAAAAGCTTATGCAGGTAAGGAAGGATTCATTATGTTATATGAATCCCTTTTAACTTCGTCGAGTAACTCACAAAAAGAGAAGAACTCGAGTTCCCAATACTGAATTGATTGATCCTCAACAGACAAAAGACATGTTTGACGCAGGCTGTTAAAATTGCAATAATATAATTCACTAGCGACCCGCCCCGGCTTCGCACGGGTGCAATATGCATGTATCATACATATAAACCTTCCTTAAGAATCATTCTATCTATTAAAAAAACCGCATCAAAATCCGTTGCGTAGTTTTAAAGATCTAAGCATACATACGGACATACAGCGAAAGCGACTTTGTTTTATACTATGTATTGATGTTACAAATTCACTTACCAAATAAATAAATGAATAGGAAACTCCAAATAGAAATAGAAAAACCGTGAAAACTTATCTATCACACTCGTCATGTACCTTTTTATCTTATCTCAAGATTAAGTGTTCATAGATTCACTTATTTGTAAAAATAATTATACTTCTAGCTAATCTTGTATTCTTACGTACATTGGTACTAGTTACACTGTGTAGAGCACATATCGAAATGATATAACATATAACTAACACTCTGACTTATTCACACCCGTAACGTCAGACGCCTGATTAAAATTCGACAGAAGGTACTACCGGATAGGCAAAGTGTTCAATTCATAAGCCAAATAAACGCTTGCTTGCATGTACCTAATTTAAATATAATCATTTATCACTGTAATCAATGTTATCAATTTACACAAACGATTAATTTTTGTGTAAATCATGAGTCAGACTCATGTATTTTATCAGGAAAAACTCGAACAGAACCAGCAGTAGGAGTTTTCTAGGAAGTGTTTTCACCTTTGAACTTGAATTTCGTCTTGTTTGTCGTCACACCAAAAGTATAATTACCAATATTGTTGATTCACATTAGAATTGCTCAACAATTATTACAGATTTTTATAAATATTTATCAAAACAATAACGAAAGCTGTTTTGATGAGATTTTTTATAGTAGGTACGAAAGATAAAGTTAATCCAGCAAAATAGAATTTGATAACATTTTATATCCTGGTCTAGAAAAAACTTAAGTATGCCTTCTATGATATGTACGAACGTGACTGTTTCTTCTCTTCTTACGAAGATCTCCTCATTACGAGGAGTCTCACTTTTACCCCTTATTCCAAAGAAGACAATTTTTTTTTAATTTTTGCTCTAGAAAATCATAGAGGATACCTACAACACCTGTTTAGTCCATAGCCATGTCTATCTTCCTATCTCACTAGCCTGTTACACCTTTAAAAGGAGCTGGGTACCGCTATAACTAAGTATTTTACAGTTACTAAAGGTACTACTATGGTAGATGCTCCATATACTGATGACTGAAGAGTACAATGAGAGTAGTGTCAAATAATACATTTTTATCGAAACATGATAATACCTGCGTCAATACTTAATATGAAATTTAGGAGATTAGAGCTGTTGTCACGTAGATTGTCTTATTACTTACGAAATGTTTCAACACTTTTAATATTTTTCACTTTTCATTATATTTAATTTAATAATAGGAACCTTTAGCGCTTCTGGTTTTAAGAACTTGCATTTCAAAATAGCGTTAGCCGTAGGCTGTCAGGATATTAATTTTCGATCGTGTACGAGGAAATAATAATTTCCCAAAGAAATACAAAATGTAGATTTAGAAGACAAGAAATCAGACTGACAGATATCAATAGAACCTAGATATTTATTCTTAAAACAGATCCATAAACATCGACCAGTGACAATTTTATACCAAAGAAAACATATTTCAATGTTATTCCAAGTTATTTCACACTAAGTTAGGGAATTAATAGACTCCGAGAAATAGGTACAGGACACGATCTTACCTTCTATATTTTTATATCGATTTATATTTGAACGACTAATGTTGTCACTTAACAATAATACAATACTACATGTTCACTAGTCAATGTTTCACTGGCAGAGAAATATAATATACCCGATATCTACGTAACAGATAAGGAATCTGCTAAAGATAATGGCCTCCTGATCGATACGAGTACTATGCGTGTCTACATACTTCTTTTATTTATATTGTTAAGTACGTTATTACTAAATTATTATCAGGACCAAGGTGAACTGTGTTCCTATAATGTAAACAGCGTTTCACTTGCGGGTGTATTCACTTAATATCTATATATTTCTATAAAACAAACTCTATCCTAACTATTTCATATGACATCATCAGTAGAAAATCGTCAACGGCTGAGCAAAAGCTTTTCCCGTAGACTAGTGGGGTTGCCGTAACCTACTGGACCTATCCAGTGCCGTAACCTCACACAAAATGAAAATTGTCTTCAATTTCGAAGAACTAGGGCCAGAAGGTTATATATCATAATTATCAGTCAATAAGGAAAATTGGTTATTTATCTATATTTAGATTAATCTGTAAGAACAACCATGTTTGTTTACCACATTTTTAAATTAAATATGATATTTATACACACAAAGATAAGGTAATAGGTACCTACAGATATACATAAGTTATGTTTCATAACACACCTGGGCAGGTAGGCATATGTATAGTAGTAGGTGAAGTAAATTGTAGTAGGTATGTACCTACTACAATTTGTAGTAGGTATGTACCTAGTACAATTTACTTCGAACTTCTAGTAAATGAAACATTGATTCATCCATCACCAAGTGTTTGTACAAAGGTGACTCCTGTATAATTAAAATTCTAAATCGATTCCTAAAGACAATGTGCCTACCTAATATATTTATTGCCACGATTGGACACGGACACGTGATTTGTCCCGATAGTTAATAAATGTCTTATATATATCTGCTATAGGTATATGTCGTAGATAACCAACTCAACAACCCTTTCATATAACTTTTGCAGTAAAACAACAATAAGGCGCTGGCGCTGGACAACCCATTCAGATTTATGATTTTACTCACGGAACAGGCGCAGCCAGCACACGGGCACATGCCTAATAGTAGGTAATTTATACACCTGAATTTTATGAACATGGTTTTTGAATCATTATTCGCCCATTGAATCAAACGTACGCAAATGACATAACAGCACTTCGGGAATTTCCCGTGTAAATAAATGGGTAAGTAGACGCGTACTTATTTAATTATCTGATGATGATGTGTGTTATTCAAGTTGTTTTTAAGACCAATGTCCTTTCGAACAGCCTTTTAATACTAGACTTGTCTGTTAGGCTCAATATTTATTTGCTACGACATATAATACAGTATATTCGGCATATAATACATAATATTCGGCTGCGACATATAATACAGGCGCTACTTTTATCTAAGTAATACCTAAGCAATTAGAAATACATGATTATTAAAAAAATGTAATGGTGCTAACAATCTAATTATAACAAATTATTATCTTTAACCCTTAAACTATCCTGTGTTTATAAAAAGATAAGTACTATCTGAATTAGATACTTACATGGTATAGTTTGTTCACTGTCGAATTTTATTCAATCCTGGTATATTTCGACCATTTTTTTTTATTATTTATCTTGTAAATCTTTATTACTTAAATTTGTTTGTCTTTGTTTCACGTCACAATAGAGCTTAAAACAATAGATTTTATAGCATCACTTTAGTATTTGGAGATAGTCAGGAAGCGGGAGAGTGATATAGGATATTTTTTTCTTTAACCCCGCGAGTGAAGTTAAGATACACACACTCTTAAACAAAATTAGCCAGGCGACCTGATAGGATAATAAGCCTTGACACTAGCCGCTTTGAATGACATCGTGACTAACGAGCTTCATTAAAACTGTACACGTTCCTTATAAGAGGTGAACATTACGTAGTTCCTAATATTAACCGACTCTTGCACTACAGGTGGATTCTTATTTGGACTGACTGATATTGTTTGAAGAAGAATATCGATTTTCTGCCACTCACCAATTTCCATTAACTAATTAGATACTATTGATTTTATTTGGTGGTTGTAAGCAGGTTTAGCTAGAGTTGCATTGATAGGCGCAAGCTGTATTTCCAAATATTAGTTTTCAAACAAAAAATGGCTATAATCTCTTATACTGTCCTTAGATAGGGGTATGTCCCGTAACGCCGGACGGCACCTAATGCCGGACACATGTATTTTCTCCATAACTCATAACGCGAGCGATTCAATTTTTAGGGGAAGTCACCCAGTGGCAGACACCTAAGATTTTTATTAAAAATTTAATCGCTAGTGTAATTCCCCCTATGACTCAAAACTTAACCTTATGAGACGTGACCGTTATCGTATGTGTACTTTGGCTAACTGAAATAATAAAAAGCATTACTAGATACATAGCTATAGTTATAGTATGTTGTCTACCTCTAATAACATAAATATTATTGTCACATATTATGCAATAATAACGAAACACTTAATTGTAGCTTCATTTAGTTTCTATAGAAACCACCTCATGCAATCATTTTGTTACTTTCAGACTCTGATCAAAAGAGATTCTTATGTTTTTCGTTTTAGTCAGTAAGAGTCTGACACTCCCTCTCGTCTCATCCGGGCGGGAGAAATCATTGTATGATTTTCCCCCTCAAATAAAGACCACCTACATACAGTACTAGTGTTGTGACTGAACTGATACAGGTTCTTAATGTATAAGTAGATGTTGATGCCTATATTCGCAACCACCCATGTACAATTAACAGTTTACATACATCCTAGATGGTATCATAGCAGTTCCTACTGAATTTATTTATACCTACAAAGATGATCCTTTTATTTATATTTTACTTTTACAAAATACTGATGATGACTAATATACTTTGATAAAACTGTCTACTCGAAAGTGTGTGTGGATAAGTGCTTACCTACTTGGATTGTAAAAGTAGCCTGTGACTATGATTAGTCATTGTTACCAAAGCACTTGATTTTATACTCATCACTTCATTTTACAGCACTACCCAGTAGATGTAATCTACGATTAATATCTTAATGATTTTATCACAACAGAATGCACTACTTTTTTTTTCATAATATAAAACCAAAACTAAATAAAATATTATTGTAACAAAACACTCACCTATTTCTATTCGCCCACTTATCACAAATCACTAAAACACCATGGAATAATTTTAAAAATTCCGATACAAATATGTAGTTGTTCGCGAAAATTATCGGCAAGGGATTCCACAGAGTATAAAAAGATAATAAAAATGATAAGCTGCCGTTCGAGAGGTACACTTTAATGTCCGCGCTATTATATATAAACGCAGCCGGTACGTAGGCACGTCCAGCGATGCTCTAACTAAAGCAATATTAGAATAAAACGCTTTAACACACTTCTGAGTTTCTGCATAGGAAGGAAACAATAAAACGAGGTGTTGTTTTTCACATGGAAATAGACGCACTTGTGAATTTAACGTGTCATTTGCAGACTTTGCAGTAGCTAACTTTTATTTACACAAAGTTTACACTTTATTCTATTTGTGATTGAGTTTGTAGTTCATATGGGTAATATGGTCGTTGTGCCTGT